TAAATTAAATAAATTTATGTATCCTACCTTCCTAGCTGTCCACCTAAAATAATGGCTGCACCCACCCGTGTATCGGCACGTATTTTTCTCTTACAATTATTCAAAATCACCAATTTAATGAAAATAAAAAGGGGTATAAGCACTACTGGACACCCATAATAACATTCCAAAGTTTCATTAACTCCGGAATTTTTCTAAGGCCCCCCCCCCGATTTTACTGTTTGATTGGACAAGGACTAACAGACAATAATATTATACAATTCATGAAAGAGTAATATAATAAATATGATAAGAAATGTTTACCGTACAGTAACAAGTATAATTATTACATTTTTCTTCATCAACAATACGATCAAAAATATCCTACTACAGTCATAAGCAGGTAGCCGCTAGCCGGGTTTCCCCGATCGCCGTGGACTTTTATAACGACAAAATTATAATTTACGAATTTATTTAATTTTATGTTGTAATAATAATTATAACGCCATCTTTTGGGAGTTTTATTTTACGCCATTGTTAAACGAGCCAGTAAAAAATCTATAGTATTTATAATCAATACTAATAGGTATCAGAATAAAGTAGGTACACATTTATTTTTAATTCATTATTTAATTATTTTTCTACATAATTTATAAATTCCTCCTATGACAATTTATTATTGTGTGTCGCCCAGTCTTTAAAAATACAATCAACTGTACTATTTTTCACGAAAGACGGTTGAGAGTCTCGACGAAAATCAGTCATTCTTAGGCATCCCCACGCTGCACCACGCCCAGGGCTCACACCTTATCGAGTCAGGTGTAATTTTGCGAACTGCCGTCGACGACGAGAGCGGTAGCGAGTGATTACGCGTCTATACGTAGCGGTACAACATAAACACATTCGTATACGCATTCGTGAAGAGTATACACAATATTTTGTATACCTACTCAATATTTTTGAATTGTTTTTTATAATTTGTTTTCAATTATTTCGCAATTATATTATAATGAATGATCATCTAAGGAGAAACCTCATCTGATTCCGACTCTTAAAATTTCTTTAATGTATTTTTTGACTTTCTACTGTTTTATACTTTTATGCGTATTTCTTTTATTTTTTTTTTTGCGTATTAAAATAAAAGTATAATATAATAAATTAAATTTGTATACCTCTATATATTATTTGCAAATAAAATGAAACATATATATTTGTACGTTTATTTCGTTTTGTAATAAGCAATATAATATTAAGACACATAAATATCCCCTGACGCCGGCTGTACGCGTACCTACACTCGTATCTGACGGGCGATGGCATCACATTAGGTATAATTATCAGATCATTAATTGAACACCCTGTGTAGTCGGCGGCAGTAGTAACTGGTCATTCCCTGTCACAACACTTCGGGGGTCCGGCAGCGATCCGTAGCTCAGTCTGCGTGCTCGAAATACTATACTTTTCTCTCATGAAAAATAGTATAGGCGACAACATAAATTTTCATGGAGGGACATTTATACCGTTCGCCAACATTAATTTAACACCAAATATTGATAAAACGGCGGACTTTGGTGTTAGTAGTACGTCCGCTGTGGACAATCTTGGAAAATCCAATATCTTATTGGTAAATTTAGCAATCATTTTGAAAATGGCACCGTTCGCAAGCATTACTTCAGTACAAAATATTGGTACTAGAAAGAAAATTAGTGCTCATTGTCCGTCCGCTAATTTCACGGAACTGCAGATTTGTCTTATTTCTATATATTTCTTAGTCTGTGAGTGTGACGTTATATTATCTAATCAAAATTCTTATTGAGTACGATTGGATCCAAACAAATAAAAATGTACATACAAATGCAATGTAAAGTAACTTTAAAATTGTTATTTTCTACATTTTAGGAACTTATATACTTATTTTGTGCCTTAAACCGCGTAAGAACTGGATAGGGAAGATGCAATTATTTGATGTACAAATGGGGTATGGTGGACTCGTGGACTCTCCACTCTGTGGCCAAATCCAAAATATTAGGCACATTGTTGAGGAATGCCCGGAAACGAAGTTCAGTGGAGGAACATCAGGTCTTCACAATGGAGACAAGGAAGCGCTAGATTGGCTGTGTAATCTTGCCACACACTTATAGCATTTAATAGTTATTACTTGTAGCTTGCTTATTTATTTATTAGTTAAACTATTTATTTTAGTTATTTATTTATATTTATATTAATCCGTTATCACTTTTATTTTATTTTATTTTGTTATTACTTTTTTGTTGTACACCAATACCATGCCATATACTAGAAAAAAAAATATATACTTATTTTATTCCAAAAAATCTCATTTGAGTATCTTATTTAATAATAGTAAAATGTAGTCATATATTTTTATGTAAATACTCATACTCGTACTGTGTGTTTTTAATTATATAATTAAATTGTTTGGATCCAAATAATTAAATTATTACTGATAACAGTCTGATAAGAAGTCTATGATATTTTGGCGGGTACACCAAGACACGAGGTTTATGATAAGGTAATAAAGAAACGTTTATTTACGACATAAAGACATAATACAAGTGATCGCCAGCAGACGGCTTTTGACGGAAGAAAGGCGAGCACGCAACAATTAAAAACAACATTAGTTAAGAAAAACAATTATACATAATAATTATTCGGAGTCAGTAACAATGCTTCGCGTACGGCATCGGTGAGAGGGCGGAGCGGTGGTCACGTCGAGACGAGCGGAGCTGTGGACGACGACCGCTGAACGCCGACGGCGAGGAGCGTAGCCGACGTCCGCCGCGAGCGACGCGCAGCGGGAAGAAGAAATGTGTCGCGAAACCCGCCACAACATAAATAAGTTAATCACCCGTATTTAAGATCCGTAATTTTAACTTATCAAATTTTAGTAGAACAGTAATTATAGTAGACAATTTTTTTTTTCAAGAAACTTATGTTTTTAAGATTGGTGAAATCGATCTCCCAAAACTGTTATCAGTTGTTATATAATCGGGAATATTTAGCTGTACCCGACACGTAAATTAACTATTTCATTGAGTTAAGAAAAAAATGTTTTACAAGAATTTTGGGATGTTTAGTGCGGTATTTCAGTCATAGGTAACACTGCTCTACTCTTAACAGTCTACAGTCGTCAGCGGTTAGCTATTAACAACGCTAATCAATGTTTCCTTCTAATTTCTTACGTTTTCAGGTCTTTTCCTTGTTGGTTGTTACAGTATTTCATATCACCACGAACAGTGATTACATTATTTTCCAGTTTTTGCGTAGCAGTTTAACGTGTTAAATAATATACCAAAATAATCAACACCGGTAGACACGAAATAATGAGTACTAAAGGAGGTACCTATTATACACTCTTATTACATAATATATATATAAATGTCTCATCTACACGATGGAATTAAGTATTTCATGAAAAGTTATCCAGTTCATGAAATGGTAATCGTTTTTTTCCACTTTGTAAAAATAAATATTTCTTTAAGTGGATCTTTTCATGGAATGGACACTAAACTTTCCCATTATCTAATTCTTTCATCAAATAGTTACCTTCCAAACTTAATATTTAGTTTTTATTATAGATATTATTTTTAAACATTTCGGAATATGTTTTTATTTCAATAAAGTAGGTGTAAGTAATATTTAATATTAATAATTTATTTATTCAAACAATTAGTTGAATAATGATGACACAATTATATTTAATTTTACTTTTGAAACATTTGCTCCCATAAAAGAGTCACTATTTCATGAAGTGTTATTTCTTTGGTATTTTTCATTTGATTAGCAGTAATATAATTTGATATCAGTTGCAAATTTCCAAACCCAACCCATCTATTTCTTTTAAATTTCATGCTGGGGTTTCTATGCAATTAATCTTTACTTGGTATATTTTCCTTTTATTGTTTTTTTTTTTTTTTTAATCAGATGTTTCGTCTTTGCTACTGTCAACACATATTTCTGTAGTAAATAATATTCACATCTTCGTTTTATCGCTATGAATACACTTTATAATATTAGGTACCTAATAAACATTTATTTTATCTATAATCTCTTGTATAATTCCTTTGGTATTCATAAGAGTATGTGATGTTTCCTAGATTTTTTTCTATAAAATATAGTTTTTCTATCAAATTCCATTTTATAAACACACTTGTCTATACACTACTTGTTACTACACTTGATTTACTTGACAATACTGCTGTAACCACAGAATATTGTTCAATGTATTGAAGTTATGTGCACCAGAATAGTTAACTTTAGATAATTTTTATCAAAAATACAGGTGCATACAGAAATAAAATTAGAAACATTACAAATTAATTGAAAATTAACTATTATATTTACACTTCTACCTACCTTTACATAACATATTCCAAATTTTTTTAAGTAATATCTATAATAAAAACTAAATATTTTGTTTCACCAAGAGGATAGCCATTTGATGAAAAAAATTATACTATATCAAATTTGAGTATCTATTTCGTGAAAAGATATCCACTTAATGCAATTTTTAAATATTTCAGTAAATGAAAATGATTTACATTTTATGAACTGTATAACTTTTTACGAAATGCATAATTTCATTAAATAGATGCAACATATACAAATTTATATACCCTCACTAGGTGTATTAGTGATTTGTATTTACTTATTTTATTATTTCTATGATTATATAATATACTGCAGCCTCAAAATTCAAGAGTACGTAATGGGTAACGTGTAGGTATAGTACATACCCATGTAATAAAATCGTGGATATAAAATAAATAAATTCTTTATTTGTTATGCAAGAATCGAGTGTGAGCTAAATGCTTGTGGTCGCACATAGACTGTTATTATAAACAAGTCTATAACCGGAAGTCTACCCAAATCAGTGACATAAACACAATAATAGGATTCACATTTTACAATTTACATTTGAAATATATGGTACCACTCAACTTTAAAATAATAATGTTTAATCAAAATCAATTGTTACTAATTTGGATATAATTTTGCTTTAGATGGCGCACTCGTCTCATTTCAATGTCGATTTCTTAAGAATGGGCATTAATGCTGAAATCAAAGAAAATCCCAATGTAAAAAAGAGTTATGGTAAGTATACTATAGTATATTACAGGTAAAGTGTATTTAATTTTTAAACATTTAATATTTAATTACCATTCTGTACTTTTCTGTATAGAACCCTAAGCTGTTTTCAATTTTTAGCACCAAAATATATATTCTGAAACCATATAAAGTTCAAACAGTGATTAGTTCTGATTGAAAAAAGCAGAATGTGTATTAATTTGTGGGTTTTTTTTACAGATTGTTTTTTGTGTCATACTGTTAAGCACAAAATAAATGATTGTTCAAAATTTGGTTAGTATAGATATAAATAATTAATTAATACAAAATGCAAATACAATTAGTTCATGTTATATTGCATTTACAGCTGTTCTTTTGTTGGGTGCTCGTCATGCATTGAAGCCGGAAACTACTGCCAAACATGTACTTACCGCTTTGAATGTGGCATCCATGGCAATGGCCGGCGAGATCAGTTCAGAGGATCTAAATAAACTGGCGACCACTGGGATGGTCACCAACAAGATGTACCTCAGAGCATTCAAACGAGTTGTAAAGAACATTACCAAGGAGCAGAAAAAGTTTAAAAAGGAGAAATGGGTGTCATTCGAGAAGGCAGTGGATAATGTGATGGAGGCCAAAATGAACACAATGAAGGCTAGTGTTAAGGTCGAAGAGGCGATGGAAACTGGAATACAAGATGATAAGAATGCAGCAAAAGGCGCCATAATGGAAGTTTGCATGGCCAATGCTGTGATGGAAGTGGCAATGATGGATGCCAGGTTATCGGCTAAATATCAGATGGTTGCTAGTGCCTATTTGAAGTCAATCAATGTACACGAAAAGCTGGGAAGGTCCAGTCGGGCAGCAAAAGTAGAGGCAGAATGTTCGGCTCCTGTCGGATGTCTACTCGTTGATTTAGATGTCGATTAGAAAAAAAATTAAATTAAATAGTAGTAATTTTTTATTTTACTTATTAAGGTTTACAAGTCACAAATGTTAAAAGTCTTCTTTTGAATTGTTGCAAGTCGATAATAAGCGCACATTAAATTATTATTACTTATTCAAATTATGTATAATTATTGTATGATGTTTCAATAAGGATTTATTCTTAATTTAAATTATTTATATAGATACACAGTTTTTATCAAATATAAAAATTATTTAAAATTGCATTTCTGCGATTATCGATTCAATTATATAATAACTTATTTTGAAATACTTGGTTTCTTGTTTGAAATACAAATGCATAGTATTCAAAATGCTAAACTGTATTATTTAAATGCTAAACTGTATTATTTAGGTATACATTTTTTTTTTAATCTACAATCTTTTAAAATGTATCGCTTAGTAATTATAACAATTTATGAAATTTTATAGTATTATAAAAAATAAAATAATTTATAATAGTATTTTATTTGGTTTTACTTTGGTTTCTTGTTTGAAATACAAATGCATAGTATTCAAAATGCTAAACTGTATTATTTAGGTATACATTTTTTTTTAATCTACAATCTTTTAAAATGTATCGCTTAGTAATTATAACAATTTATGAAATTTTATAGTATTATAAAAAATAAAATAATTTATAATAGTATTTTATTTGGTTTTAGCCTCTTAAGCCTTTCTAAACATAGGTATATAGACATAGACATATTAGTAGTAGTAAAATGCGGATTCTGGCGCAGTTTGACATTTTCACTTATAAAAATTGATTTCTGATCTCCATTCATATTGTTTTATTTTCTGTACTTTGTTTACATACTTTAATTTAATAATATTTAACACTTTAGGATCTGACTGGTTACATTGTTCATGGTTATTTATTTTGAAAATAATGGGTTTAAAAATTAATCTTGACTTATCATTAAATATAAATCAGTTACTAGGTTATATTTAATTAAGAGACATATGCTGGGAGACACAAAATAAGAGAGAGAAATATGTATTTATTATTTTCTCATAAACATTGTGCTAGGAACAGTTTTCTTTAAAAAAATAACTAATATAATATATTATGCATCGTGTGTGCAATAGATCATTTCTCAAAAATAACTTATATTAAAATTATTATTCTTTTTCATTAAATTATCATGGTAACTATATCAAGGTATCAATATTTAACACATCCTTTGTTTATACTTGCCCTACCAACGTTTTCAATTTGATCCATTTTTTGTTATTTCAATTGAGAGAATAAAAATGCAACAAAATTATCATATAATTGCACTTTTAGTGTCATATTCAGTAGTGTTATTTTTAAATTATTTTCCACTAATATTAAATTTTGCATGTTATTGAGAAAACTATGTTAACCTTCTATTTTAAAAGTTATAACACCTCCATCTCTATTAAAATTTATTTCTGATGTTGGTTTATATGATTTGTATTGTGATCGTGTAATATGATCATCATATTTATTAAAAAGGTTCTTCATTTCTTATAGAAAAGATAAAAAAAATTTTTTTATAATAAAGGAATATGAATAGTTTTTTTAATAATAAAGAAAAGTATGTAGATTATCATTCTTGGGATAATATTTTACAAAACAATTATTTTATTTTAAAGATCCAATACATCATTCTAGTTCTAACTTTGAGGTTTTAGGTGATTATATCCAAAAAAGATTCAGTATATACCAGAAAGATATCAAAAGTTTTATTTATGAAAAATAACGAATATTAATGCATATTTAACCGTTTAAGATAGACAAATTGATAAAATTTGTAAAGAATGGTCTGATGAAAATTTTTCAATCCGAAACCTAATTTAAAAAAAAAAATAATACTAATTTAGGTATATTTGTTATAATTTTTAATAAAATATAAACACAAATGTCTACAAATAGGTGGATCATTGTATTGTTGAAATCTTCTAGATGTAGTTTTAAGATTATTTTCTCCCAAATATTTTGCTAATTCTTTTGGAGGATTAGCATTATCATAAGAATCAAAATAAATTTTTAAGCTTTCACATTTTATCCATGCAACCCAATGCAACCCTTCTTGATCAGAGTTATTTAAATTTAATTCTTTAAAGGTTCTGTAGGTAACTCATCTCTCATAAAACATACTCTAAAATTTTTAATTCTTTTACTAACTTTCATAATATCAAAATAAATTAGAAGGGAGATTTTCCTTTTTTTTTTTTAACTTGGTGGTACTGCAATACTTTTTCTTTTTTTAAATTTCAGATCCGATTTGTAAAGTTTTAATATTATTAAAAGTTTTTTCCATTTCCTTATTATGTCATTCTTGTTCTTTTTCTGTCGGTCTCTTATGTTTTCCTTCTATAATAGTATTTGCAATCGAACTAACTCCGCCAGCTAATGCACTTGCTGCTCCTATTCCAGCATAAAGAAGTAGAAGAAATCCTCCTTGTTTGATTTGTTCAAATTTTAATTCTAACTTCGATCCTCTATTTTCTTTCTTAGATTTGTTTAATTTATTTATTTGTGTTTCGGTTAAGTTAAATTTTTGTTTTTCTGTTCCAATTTGATTGTTGGCGAGTTGAATTGTTACAGCTATTTTTTTACTAAGTGCAGAAATAATTTTTTTCATTTGTGCATCGTTTAAATTAAGACTCATTTATTAGACAAAATATTCATTTTTCTATTTAAATAAGGCCCATTCCTAATTATTTTTTTACTTTCATTATATTAGTTGCTGGATTTTCACCTAAAGATAATTCTGGATTTTTATATATATACTTTGCTATATTTTCTAAAACTATATCAGCTTTATATCTAGATTAAGTATCATTATGTTTTGCATAGTCAAAATCATGATCCATTGCGGCTTCATCTAGTTGGAATATTGGTTTCTTAGATTATGTAAAAGGTCCGAGATAATTATAACTCCACCAATGCATTTCAGGTATAAATTTGCTATTTAAGAAATTATTAA